ATGCTCCACTTGATGGAATGAGCACTGGGTGTTATATGCAAAGGATGAATCACTAAATTCTACCCCTGAAACTAATAATATAGTATATGTTAACTAAACTGAATTTAAATAAAGAATGAAAAAATATATAGTTTTTGGAACCCAAGCCACCGGGCAGTAGACCATTCAAGCAGGCTCACGGAGAGGTCATGTGTAGGTATTCTGGCCCTGGCTCTGGCAGAGGTCCCACTGACAGGCAGTATCAACTGCTAGACGTATGATGATTCCAGCCTCCAACCACCTTCAAGCCAGCCCAGCTGACTGAGGAAGCAGAGATATACTGTCCTGCTGAGCCTTTCCCAAATTACAAATTTATAAGTACATTAAATGTTACTGCTTAGGAGAAAAAAAAGTCCCATGCTCTACCGACCGAGCTAGAGCATTATTTTAATTTTTTAATTTTTTAATATTAAAATTATAATTTTTTTAAAGATTTTTTATTTTTTTTTTAATTAGACAGAGAGTACAAGCAGGGGGAGCGGCAGGCAGAGGGGGAGGGAGAAGCAGACTCCTCGCTGGGCAGGGAGCCCGATGTGGGGCTTGATCCCAGGACCCCGGGATCACGACCTGAGCCAAAGGTAGACACTTAACCGTCTGAGCCACCCAGGCACCCCTAAAATTATAATTTTTTATTTTAAATTTTTATTTAAACATTTTATTTTTACATTTTAAAATTTATTTTAAAATTTTAAATTTACATTTTAAATTTTAAGCCACTGGGTGGCTCAGGTGGTTAAGCGGCTGACTCTTGATTTCCGCTCATGTCATGATCTCAAGGCCTTGGGATTGAGCCCCACGGTGGGGAATCTGCTGGAGGATTCTCGCTCTCCCTCTGCCTTTGCCCCTCTCCCCATTCTCTCTCTCTAAAATAAATAAATCTTTTTTTTTTATTTTAATGTATTAAAATATCTTTAAATTTTTTAAAATTTAAAATTTTTAATGTAAAAAATCAGTGAAAAGTATTTTAGGCTTAGAGAAGAGAGAGACCAGAGATGATCTGGAACAGAAGTCAGCAAACTATGCACACAGGCCAAATCTGGCCCACAGCCAGTTTTTGGGAATAAAGTTTTACTGGGAAGAGGATCATGTTCATTCATTTGCAAATTGTCTACAGAGGATCTCATGCTGCAAGCAGAGTTGAGTAGTTGTGACAGAGATTGCATAGCCTCCAAAAGAGAAAATACTTACTGTCTGGTCCTGTATAGAGGAAGTTTGCCAAGCCCTGATCCAGACAGCATACCTAGGAATTGAGACTCAGCAGGAGTGGAATGAAAGGTACTGCTCATTCCTGCATCTCACCCATTTGCTCTCCTGTGACAGTTTCCAAGTTCTCTTCTTCCAAGTTCACAAGCACTTTGCTCAAGACATCCTTTTAAGACCCCTCTTTTTCCAAAACAGCATTCCTTACATTCCCCCAGGTCCCTTGGACTATATACCCTCACCTGGTATTCCCATGTGACTGTTACTTTGAGGTGCTCAAGGCTCAGTAAGAGGGAACTGCTCTGCCTGACTGCCTTGAGCTGGGACATCAGTCTTTTTTCCTGCCTTTGGGCTTAAACTGAAACATCAGGTGTTCTTGGGTCTCAGGCCTGGTGCCTTTCAGACTAGAACTTAGAGCATCAGGTTCCCTGGTTCTCAGGCCTTTGGACTCAGCCTGGAACTACACCATCAGCGTGCCTGGGTCTCCAGCTTGTGGACAGCAGATCTTGGGACTTCTTAGTTTCCACAGTCATGTGAACCAATCCCTTCCAGTAAATCTCTTTATATATACACACACACATACACATCCTAATGCCTATGCTTCTCTAGAGAACTCTGACTAATCTAGAATTTATATCGAGAGTGGGGTAGACAGATAGAACCAGGAGTGGGGTGGTGCTGTAACAAAGATCTAAAAATATAAAACTGGCTTTGGAACTGGATAATGAGTAAAGGCTGGAGAGTTTTGAGGAGTATACTAGAACTAGGGGTGTTGAAGGTGATTCCAGTGAGGACTTAGGAAGAAAAGAGAAGAGGCTAAGACAAAGCTTCCATCTTCTTAGATAATGCATAAATAACCACAGACAGAATCTTAGTAAAAATATGGATGTTAAAGGCCATTGTGGAGAGATCTCAAATGGAAATGGGGAACATGTTTTTGGAAACTGGAGGAAAGGTGATCCTTGTCATAAAGTGGCAGAGAATTTAGCTGAACCGTGTTCTAGTGCTTTGTGGAAGACAGAGCTTGCAAGCAAAAAACTGGATATTTAAATGAGATTTTTTAAGCAAAGTGTTAAAGGAGCGGCTTGGTTCCTCCTGTTTATAGTAAAATGCACAAGGAGAGAGGTGAATTAAAGAAGAAATTGTTAAGCAAAAAGGCAGCAGAACTTGAAGGTTTGGAAAATTCTCAGCCTATCCATATTGCAAAAAAATAAGAAAACTTGGGGTGTCTGGGTGGCACAGTTGGTTGAGCATCCAAATCTTGGTTTCAGCTCAGGTTGTGACCTTGGGGTCATGGGATCAAGCCCTGTGTTGGGCTGTGCACTCGGCATGGAGTCTGCTTCGGACTCTCTCCCTCCCTCTCCCTCTGTTCCTCCTCCCAACTCTCTCTCTCTCTCAAATAAATAAATCTATTAAAAAAAAAAAAAGAAAGAAAAAGCTTGCTCTGAAGAGAACAGCACAGGTATGGCCAAACAACCATTTGATAAAGAGATCATGGGTGCAAACCACAGATCTAATCATGTGTCAGCAGAAGCCAGGAACAGGTAAGGGATTATACCGGTGAAACGCTGTGAGTTTGAATGAAAAGGGGTGGAGATGGGACAAAATAAAGGAGTGCTGTTGAACTTCTTGGAATCTATACGATAGAACCATAGAGCCATTTGGCTGTGGATACGTGCCAATTTTTAAGAAAAAAGAATGAGTCACCCAAAGGCTCATTCAGAGATCATCAGGCCCTGGGGGCAGGCTGGTTCCTCCTCAGTTTCAAAGGGTAGGCTGCCTCTCTGGTTTCTGTGAGCCTGGATGTGCCCACCCCAGTGCCTCAGGGGCAGGTCACCCTGCAGACGCATAGGGGTGACACTGCCACCCCAGTGGGCCTGGAGGGCAGAGCACTGAACCAAAGAGGCTTATCCTGAAGGCTTAACATCCCATGGAATTTGCCTTGTAAGTTTTGGGCTTGCCTTGGACTCGCCACCCCATCCCTCCTCCCTATTTCTCCCTTTTGGAATGGGACCATCTATCCTGTGCCTGTCCCACCACTGTATTTTACAAGTACATAACTTGTCTGGTTTCACAGGCTCGCAGCTGGAGAGGAATTCTGCCTCAGGATGAACTATACCTCCAATCTCACCATACTTGATTTAGATGATATTTGGGTGAAACTTTGGCTCTTAGACTTCAGTCGATGTTGGAATGAGTTAAGACTTTTGGGGATGTTGAGATGGAATGAATGTATTTTGCATGTCAGAAGGGCATGATTTGGGGGAGCCAGCGGCAGAATGTTATGCACTGAATGTCTGTGTCCCAAGTGCACACATTGAAGCTCTGATTGACAACGTGATGGTATTTGGAGATGAGGCGCTTGAGAGGTGATTAGGGTTAGATGAGATCAAGAGGTTGGGATCCTCTTGATAGCATCTGTTCCCATCCATGTGAGCCACAGAAAGATAGCAGACATCTGCAAGTCAGGAAGGGAGCTCTCACCAGAGACCAGCTCTACTGACACCTGATTGTGGACTTCCAGCCTCTAGAAGTGTGAGAAATCAATTTCTGTCATTTAAGCTACCCAGTCTATGGTATTTTGTTATGGCGCCAGAGCCGACTAAGACAGGTACATTTTCTTATCTATTTCATCCCAGACCGTGTGTTCCCCTTAGTTTATGCTGCACCCACCATGGTGCCCGGAGCCAGGACAAGCATCCAATCACCCTTGACCGCACTTGCTTCCAAATATGAAGACACCTATTTATTCTAACAGCAGTTTCATTTTTCATTCTAAGTCTGCACACACTGTGCATCCCAACATCAAAGAGCTCTGTGCACAAAGGGCCAAGGTCGTGGCCCCAGGAGGGGTTTAAAGGAAGTGAGATCTGCCGAGGCTGGTGCCCCGATGTACTTATTTCCAGGTGATGGTGTTTATGAGGAACTAATGAAGAACTGAATTTCTCTTCATTCAGTCTTCTGAGAACTGGTTTGCTATTTTTGCCTAAAAGAAATTCCTGGACCTTCCAACATGCCCAGTTCCATACTCAGGTATAAAACACCTGCTATGTTGGGTTCTCCCTGGCTTTGTCCCCTGCTTTGCTGGCAGAGAGACAATCCTGAATTGTTGGACTAAGGACTAGGAAGGACTAAGCTCAATCCTACCTAGTGGGCAGTGGACAAGAAGATGACCCCTGGCTTCCTTACCACCGTTGTCCAGGGCACCTGGGGAATCCTGGTGTAGGTCATTGTTATGTAGATGATGAGGAAGAAGACGGTGAGGACCCAGTAAAATACAGCTACAAACATGACCCAGCCAAACGCGGGGACCCGGAAGTACTCAGTTCCAGCGATCAGCGTCCACACCAGCAATCCCAGAACCTGTAAAATGGCAGAGGCAGTTTGAAAGAAAAGGGAGACACAAGGAGAAAGTAAAGAAGGAAGCAGGGACAGAGAAAAAAACAATTATACAGAGTGTCATTTATAGCATTTGTTCATATTTACACATACACGTGACTTATGAATACAAAACAGGGGTTGCAAACTCGCGTGCCCACAAATGCCAGGAAGGTATAAAAGATGAACATGGTAGGCTGAATAGAGATCAGAAAACAAGAAAAACGGTGTCTATTGTAAGGGGCAGTCTCTATTCAGCCCCAGGCAACTGCTGTGGGCCAATCTTTTTCTAAGTAAATTCTAACCCCCAATGTGGGGCTCGAACTCATGACCCCAAGATCAAGAGTCGCATGCTCCACTGACTGGGCCAGGCAGGCTCCCTGGTTGTGTGTCAGCTTTGCTAGATCTTCCTTTTATTTTTTTTCCCCTCAAGAAAACACAGAAAGTCAAGTTTGTACATGACAATCTTGATTTTTAAATGTTAGCACTAATAATGATTTTTAAAATACTACAAGGGGACATTCTACACACACCTGTGGCTGGAATTTACTCACAGGCTGATGCTTGTCAAGGAACAAGACTGCATGGAACTGATCTGCTCTCAAGGGATGAACCTCTGAGGATTCCCCACCTGCCACCGCTGCCCCCCTCCCCCCGCAGATGGCAAATAACACGTGGCCTGAGAGAGCCTTCAGAAAGGAGAACACGCAGGGGCCCAGTGCAGACACCGGCATTCAGCATTTTAACATAAGTTGTGCATTTATTCCAGCAAGAGCCATCCAAATCTTCACTGCTGATGAATAAGACCAAACCCAAAGCCAAATCAATGTCACCAATTGACTAGAGGAAGATTTCATCAGGGGAAAAGATACTGATCCAAACTGTAGGCATCTTTAGTCCTGAACAAAGGAAGTCCAGAGCAAAGGATGCATCTCGCATTCCAGCACCTTCCAGGGACCAGGACTTTATTCCTAGGTCATGAAACAGTTAGTATCCAAACCATATCCCCAGGAGTCCAGGGCAGGCTCTAGCTGATAAGACTCAGGACAAATAATTCTGTTTTAGCTTTCTTTGTGGCATACGGAACAAATTACTACAGGAATTTTAATCACAAATCTAGGAAGATTGTTTTCACTTATTTGTTTAACCCTTGAGAGCACTAAACTCTGCCAGGCTTCCTGCTATCAGGCCCCAAGGATGGGTGGGGCACACATTGAACAGACCTTGCTGTTCATAACTTAAAGTCTAGTGGGAGGAAATATCTGAATAATTATAATTGTGAAAAATGCTACGAAGGAAAATGAAGGGTATGATATGGGTGTATAATAGAGAGATATACCCTTGTTGCAAGAATGGGAAGTGTCAGGGAAGGCCATGATGAAGAATACCTTAAGACCCAGTAAGAGCTAGCGAGAGGTAAGCAAGAAGACAGCATGGGCAAAGGTCCAGAGCAGGGAGGGGCTTTGCTGCCCTTCTAGAACCTATAAAAAAGTATACTAAGTTAGGACATTGGTGCAAAATGTTAGAGAGGTGGGGGTGAGTCAGATTATATGGGCCCAGGTGGCCTAAGAATTTTGTACCTTCTCCTAAGGGTGGTGACAGGGTTTGAGCAAGAGAGTGATAGGACCAGGGTAAATTTTTAATACTGTCACCAGCTAGACCCCAAGACCTGACCTTTACTCTTCATCTGCTTGTACCCACTGACCTTTGTCCCATATTTTTCTTAAGCTCTTCTTTCTAGCTTATCTCTTAACTGAGGCAGAAGACCTGACAGGTATAACATCCTGTGATGAAAACTGAAACTAGCCCTCAAGCAACAGCGACTGCCCAGACAAAGAGTTCTGGTGGCCCAGACCCCCCAGATCAGTTTGAACTTAACCCCCACTCACGCCTCTGCAGAGAGACCATGGAGTGAACCAGGGAATGACTGACAGGTACCTTTACCTCATTATAATACTAAATCTCCAGGCACCTGGGTGGCTTCAGTCCATTAAGCGTCTGCCTTCTGCTCAGATCATGATCCCAGGGTCCTGGGATCGAGTCCCACATCGGGCTCCCTGCTCAGCAGGGAGTCTGCTTCTCCCTCTGCCTCTCTCCCCTGCTCATGCTCACTCGCATGCTCTCTCTCTCACAAAAATAATAAAATCTTTAAAAAAAAAAAATCTCCACACAAGCTCCAAGGAGGAGCCCGGCCTCATTTATATAACATACAATGTATGTTCAGGCAGGTTTCTTTAAGGTGCATGCACAGCCTTATGCTCCCCTCTACATGCAATGACAAATCTAAATATTCATCCTAACCCTAAATAAAAGGAACCCCTTCACCCTTGCTCAGGGAGTCACGGCTTTGGGAGTGATTCTCCGTGATCTCATCCACTGTGCGACAACTCCACCTGGTGTGGTTTCCATCTGAGTCTCACCAAGGAGCGACTGCACGTTAGTTTGGTTACAATACCGCTCCAGCTGCTTGGGGAGAATAGGCACGTGGAGGGGAAGAGGGGTGTGTGTGGGAGGAGACAAGCTCACAGACTGTCACAATAGTCCCAGTGGGAGAAGATGACGTATTCAAGACCAAGATGGTGGCAGCGAATATTGGGAAGTGAGGGAATTCCAGACACACTTCCGAAGTGGCCGGGCCAGGACTCGAATAGATTTAGGTTAGGATAGAGTGGAAAGACGTGCAGAGTCTCTGGAAAGATGTATGATGCGTACGAGGGCTGTCACTTCCTCACCTGAACAATGAAACAGGACCAGGTGAAAGGGCTGATCTTTACCACAGCTCCTGAGCTCAGTTTTCAACCTACCCAGCCTGAGGTGGCCAGGACCCCTCCAGATGGGGATGAGAAGTGGATGCTGCAGGCACAAGAGTGAAGGCCCCTCTTTAAGAAGGAAGACTTACTGTGAGGTCATGAAGCCCTCAGACAGGTTTCCAAGGGACATTGTACACGGCTCACCGCGAGAAGCCCACCTCTCTGCTACAGTTTGGTTGCTGTGCTGGGGAGCACAAAACAGACTCTAAATGTTGCTGCTTCCCCTCTTTATAGAGTTGAAAGTTGCTGTTCTTTTTGTCTGTTTGATATTGTATATAAATTCCAAAGCAATACTTAATGGAGATGTGCTTTTATGCTTACATTCGTGGCAGCAGAATTTATCAAAAGTGAAGATGTACAAAAAAAAAAAAAAAGTGAAGATGTACAAAATGAGATAGAATTCCAGAAAGTGCTAAGCCTCACACTAATGGGGTTTGGGGCCTGAATTCATCGTAACTGACAGGTAATCTACACACATAGATGTGATACTCATTGGATCAGTGAGACTGGTAGTTAGATGTAATCCAGCATGGTGGGGTCTGAAATAACATCACAGGGTTCTTGATTCAAACTGAAAAGGTCAGAATGGCCCTTTGTTGATGATGCACGGAGGAAACATAACTGCCGTGAAACGTAACACGGCAAACAGGGTTAGGTTGTTTCCCCAGGGGAATGCAAGGGTTTAAGTCTCCAGCAAGAGCTTGTGTCCAGCTAGACCGGCTCACCTAACAGCTCTTGGCTCTGAATGCGTTTTTCATTATTAAAGCAAGCAGGGTCCACTGTCTAGAGACGCTTTGTCTAATGTGCTAGCAGTGGTCATCTTTTACACACAGGGACAATATCGTTAACTGAGCCATCTCTCAAAGAGCAGGAATACCTGACCCATGACCTCACCAGCAAACACAGTTAAAAGAACGCCCCCGTCAAGAAAAGAATTCTACCCAAGTGAATTTCCTAGGTAACAGAAATAAGAAGCAGGCCTTTTGTCTCTCACTATAACCAATACTGATGAAAATCACTCTACAAAATGTTAGTCATCTCCTGCTGGGTGTGTGTGTGTGTGTTTAAGACAAACTCTAGATCTTTATCTGCTTAAGACAAACTTTAAATCTTTATCTGCTTAGACTACAAAAATACTGTTTGTTTTTTTCACTGATGAGCATTTTTTTAGGCTAAGACTTTTTTGAATGGTAAAGCTAAGACTTAAAAAAAATTCCCGAAGTGATAAATGCAGGTAAAAATAAACACAGAAATATAGAAAGTATATAAAAAATATACAAAGAAGCAACAACCTCCATCCACCAGTTGTAAATTCTCAAGAGAAACCAATATAAAAACTTTAAATCTACCTTTCTTAAATTCTTTTCCTTGAATCTGTGACTACCACCTGTACATCCTTTTCTTTCTCTCTTGAAAATATGGATCACGCTGTACATGGTGCTTTATGACTTGCTTCTCTCCATGAACAATATCGTGGGGGACCTCCTTCGCACTACTACACACCGATCTATGCCAATTCTGACAGTTGCCCAGTTTTCTATAATTCATGTAACAAGTTCCCAATTGAGAGAAATTTAAGTTGTCTCCTTTATGCTTATATAAAAATGCCCAGGGAACATTCTTATAATATATACCTGAATCCCAGGAAGGATTCTGAGAGGCAGAATTTCTAGGCTATTTTAAATGTTAGAGGTACTGCCAACTTACTCATCCAAACCTTGTACTAATTGTACTAAAGCATGCTTTTCCCTTCGATCCTGAGTTCCCATGTTTTAAATAATTTAAAACCTGATTTTAAAAAAAGAGATCTTGGGGCACCTGGCTGGCTCAGTCGGTACAGCATGAGACTCTTTTTTTTTTTTTTTAAAGATTTTATTTATTTATTTGACAGAGAGAGACATAGCGAGAGACGGAACACAAGCAGGGGGAGT